GATGCCAAGGACGATGGAACAGTCCGATTCGAGAACTGCAACTTGCACAGCAGCCCCAGCCTGCCAACCCCCAAATCTTTGCCGATAGAGCAGAAGCAGAAAGGCTCGGATGAGATGCAGAAGCGATGATGCAGGGTGGACGATGGACAAAATCAGCCAAAACAGCCTGCCTGAGCTCCTAGCTGAGGTGAGTACGTTTGGAAGGATGGTTCCTGGCTGCAGATTCAGTGTTTGCCAAAGTGTTCCTGGCTCCCAGCCAGCTTGGACAGCAGATCCCTCATTCAGGCAGTGGCACCACAGCCATGATAAGCCTGAGTGATGCAGCGAGCTCACACGGCGAATTGCGAAGCAGACTCTCGGCCGCAATTGCCAATTTTCACTGTAGTATGTGCCCCCCTGGCCCCCGCATCTGTTGTGACGTAACAACTCCGAGGGTTTTACGACAGCGCCTCCGTCTATGTCATGCTCTTCTGCTTGGCATCCAGGCGTGGTTTCTCTCTGTTTACTGTTATTTGCATTATGTGTCATAATTACGTAGCTTGTTATCATTGCTTACTATAACTTATCTGACTTATGACTTACTACTTACCNNCCCCCCCCCCCCCCCCCGGCTCCTAAAAACAACCCACAGACGCACAAAATCAATTACCACAGAAATTCTGCATCCGAACGTGTTACTTGCCAAACTATTGCTTACCACCTACTATTAGGTACTATTACTCGAATTTCGGACTTTCCTACTTGGTGTGAGGATGTCGTTCGAGAGCATCGAGGAGAAGTGGCGTCACGAAGTCGGCGAGGCTCCCATCCTGTTGGTCGGGACCAAGCTGGACTTGTGCGCTGAGCTGAAGCCATCGGAGTGCATCTCCTACCAAGAGGGCCAGGCCCTTCGTTGAATGTCAGGTAAAGCGAAGGTCTCGGTGAGGATGCTGTTGCTTTGCCGTTGCAGGCCCTGGCCAGAAAAATCGGTGCTCTCCACTACTTGGAGTGTTCCGCACTCTCTGGCGAAGGAGTGGATGATGTTATCGACGCGGCGATGTGGACCTACCTGATGCATGCACAGACCGAAAGGGGCCAAGCACTGCACCATGCCCGCAGGAATTCTGAGAGCTTTGCTCCATTTTGAGGTCCTGATTCTCGCCCCGGATGTTATTGAGAATCGTCCTTTGTGCGTGCAAGCAGGTTTCTTAGTCCACAGAGGAACGGCCGAAAACGAGGAGGACCATGGTGAGAGAACGATTTGCACTGCACACTGTGGAAGTGTGAGCCGTTCACTGTTTGGGAGGGGCAGCGAGAGTGAGCCAAAGAGCGAACACAGAGAACCGGGTTCAATGACCTCCGCCCAGCGCTGTGGCAGGGCGAAGGAACCTCAAGATCCTGAGCACACGCGTGGCAAGCAGGCAAGAGAATAGAGAACCAGCGCGAGAGAGCGAGAAATCTTGGCCTCAGCCCTCCGCAAGAAAGAGAGTGCGACTGTAATCCGTGGAGAGTACGGGCTGCAGTGAGTAAGACAAGAAGACTAATCAGCGGTCTCCAAAAACCTAGATGTGCCATGGCTTCCTGTCCAAGTGTTATTCAGTTCTCCATGGTCAAGGCAAAGAAGTGCCCTGCAAAGTAGCCTGTTGCCGCCTACAGTGCCTACGGTGCATCTGACAAAAGTATGAGTTTGCGCGATTGCCACATGTAGTCCTAGCTGGGAAGTTCGTCATCATGCCTGTTAAGCATCGCAGCGCAGACAACCCAGGCTGGCACCTCTCATTCAAGGCAAGGATCAGGGATGCCGTTTGATGTGAGTCTGGCACCGGTCGTGCCCTCTCCTTGCGGTATTTTCCAGAGGCAAGGCTGTTGAAAGTGGGACGGCCTTGCGATTCGATTGCTACTGCCGCCTTGGAAGCACAGGCTGAAAAAAGATCCTGGTCTGTTCAGAGTAAGCCGCTAGTTATTTTTTTTACTGAATTACGCATCATACGGCTGAGATCCTGTACCCGTCTTCGGTTCACAATGCTTTCTGCATGTTGCTGATGCTCCTTTCGTGGTGCTTCTCAGTTCTAGGACTCTCATCTACTCCGACTCGCTCCGAACCTTTTTACCGCCCCAATCAGCTCCCCCCCAAAACAAACATCAACAAATTAGGCAGACCCCAGCCTTGCTCAATGCCCACGACCCCCAGACAAGAAGCCAGCACTGTATTTTGGTTTGATATGTTTCAGGTGGGGTCTAAGGCCAGCCATGCGGGAAAGCTAACCGAGAAGTAATCTCATGCATTCCGGCGTGCTGTAAAGAAATCACAAGTCCAGTACGATAACGATTGGGATTCATGAGAGCAGCTGCCCATGCGGCTGCGATATCTCGAGGTCCCCCTAGTTCATGGCAGCCAGGTTCGGATGGCAAACGAGTGGTGTCATGCACATACATATAGAAAGAGAGACGCGGATGAAGTCGATGATGGGTTGCATTGGGCCGTTTGCACCCTCAGAGCGATCGTACAGGTGCACAGCCCCGAGGGCCAAAGAGCAGTTTCGGGAAGGACTGTGCAGTTCCACAGCATCCTCCATGTCTAAAGAATGTAATCTCGTGGACTCTCGCCGACTACGAGATAAGCATGCCAAAACTGCTAGGAAGCTCAGAGAAGAGTTGAGGATCCCAGATTAATATATGGCAGGGCAATGGCAGCGTGACTTCTTCTTGATCACCGAAGATCCCTTTGCTGTGGACCTTAATACCCTGGACCTTTGGATCGAGGGTTTGTCTGTGCGAGAAGCCACCGAGCGAAGATGGAGGGACACAAATTCGCAGTCTCCGCTTCAGGTCACAGGATCCCTGGCTCATCAGGGTTCATCCTCGGAGCGAGAGAATGGCATGGCCCTGCTGGCACAGGACTGCGCCCAACAGTACGAAGCGTTCGAATTTCTGGAGGAGGCCTTAACAGACCCGATCCACTTCATCGATTTCTGTCCCGTGCAGCTGACGAGGGCAGTCCGCAAAGTGTTTGTGCGCAAATACTACAGTTTGGACAACCACATCGTTCGCGAGATTCTCCGCCAACCGCATATCCTGAATGTGAAGCTGCAAGGTGGCGGGGACAGGAGAGCCATGTTTGAGGTGGATCAGATCGCGCGGGCAAGCGAACAGCGCTCGATGAAAGTCTGCCGCATCATCATGAACCTGCAGAGGGTGGGCCGCTGGATCGAGCATGCCACCCAGCGCCACGGGGAGGATGAGATTCCTTATCCGGGCGGGAGGCTCCATGTGCCTGAGATGGAGGCGTTGCAAGAGCCACTCTGCTGGCGGTACCGCAGCTTGATCTTTGTGCTGTTTGCAAAGTTTGATTTGAGCAGCAAGCTGTCCAAGACTCTGCAGACAGAGCATATTGAAGACGTGGCTGCCATCTTGCTGGCCATTGGGGGCTTGCCAGAACCAACGGACAGGAGTCGATTGCTCCCCATCCTCCGGGGCGATGAGGTGTTGACCAGCTACAGCGCTGCGTCCACGTTGCGACAGTCCGTGCTTGATGGGAACGTCAGGGAACAGCTGCAGCAGCTGGACAAGCACGTCTTGAGATGCTTGGCGTTGCTTCCCCTTCAAGCTTGTTCCCTAGCCCGGCACTTGGGGGTTCCCCGAAAGCAGTCAGTAGCCAAGGACGACGCTTCGACGACTTCAAGGCGATTCTGGTGCAAGAGCTGGAGCAACGAGGGGAACAGCGAGGCGAACGAGAGATGAACGAAAGGCTGAATCAGTCCCAGCAGAGTCTTCCTGGAGGGTCGGGCGGGGGGTCCGCCGGAGCAGGTTGGGGGTTTTCTCAAAACGATAGGGATCCTACGACTTGGGGGTCCCTAAAGCATTTTCTCTTGGTTTCTGAAACTCCCAGGTGTGTCAGGTGGCGGGATCTCCGCCGGTGCCCTTCCCGACGAAAGCCGGGTGGGAGGTCTAGTGGGGGCGGGAATGACCTTCTTTCGCGGCGGACGCCTGGGGAAGCTGAAGTCCTCGAAGCTGGATCCGATGGTAGCTGCCCTTACAGCAGGTGTGGCCACCTTGCACTCTGTTTCCGAATTCTCCTCGTTCTTTGGATTCCTCGCCGAGTTTGTTGAGAAGTTGCGGCAGTTCGATGCTGTCGACCCATTGGACGTCTTCCAGCGCTGCTACACAGCGATGGAGACCTTGGCAGAGCGTGACAAGACAGAGGACAGAAAGAGGAACGAGCTTTGGCCAGGCTGGCTGGAGGCCTGGTGCAAGTTTCTGGAGTTCTATCGCGCTTGTGCAGCCTGTTTGCTCAGCAGCCATCCTTTGCCGCACCCCCACGCGAGCAGAGAGCTCGACCCGGGAGAGCCGGGGGCGGTGGATGTTAGTGAAGCGACTTGTCTTTGCAAATTAGCGGCTATCCCCTTTCAGGAGTATTTGTGTTTTTTTAGGATCCTGCGACTACACTTCTCTTGCTAATGCTCATTGCTTATAGAGTTTTCTAGTACCCTATATATATATGTATATATATATATATATCCCTCTCTCTCTCTCTCTCTCCATATATATATATATACATACAACCCTCATAGCACCCTTTCAAGGGAACGCCCGGACCCTTGGGAGTGCTGGGAAAGGAGAGCTCCGGGCCTTACGCGGAGAGCACAGCGCGCTTTGAGGCGGATGCAACTTCGAAGCCGCTTGCCTGGAATTTCTTTTCGGGCCCTTTAGGGCCTTTTAGGGCCTTTTAGGGCTTTTTCGGGCTTCGGGTTGCTCACGAAGTAGAACGAAGTTGTCAGCCGGGTGCCGAGGTTGCTCCAGCTGTAGCCGCTGCATCCTTTGTACAAAGTTGGTTAACGAGCCTACCAAGCGGAGGGCGCGTAAGCTGCTGCCCTCTCTCGCATTGGTTCTAGTGTGGCAGCACGAGCATGAGGCGGCAGTCAAACACCGTCGTGCCTACTGTGCTGCGTGGGGCTGTGGGTCCAATCTTGAGCTTCGTCATTCAAACGTGGAGAGCAAGTCCATTCACGCAGACAGCGCAGGTCATTTTCTCCCCAGCCATCCTTCTGAAGGTTTTCGGCAAGACGGAGTACCTTGCCCATAGACTCTGCCGAGAGCTCGCACGTGCACATGTCTGGTTCAAGGTCGTTGACGTCCCTGGCCGTGCATGCTGCTGCCACGATTTTGGACGACCGCTCAGAGCAGAGGCCATCGATTGTGCGTGCATTGAATGTCCCAGTGCAGGTGACAATCCTGGGCAATGGCGCAAGCTTAGCAGTTTGCGACTTATGACTGCCAGCTCCCACCCAAGCCCAAAACAGGATGCCCTTCTTTCCCACGCTCGAAGGCCTTACGTTGGATTGGGGCCAAAACGCTGAACACCGCCGGCTTCGTTGCGCTCGCCTGTTTCGCTCGTTTGTCGGAGTGTGTTGGCAGGCCGGTCAGAATCAAGAATTCCAGTAGTACCCGGTTACCGTTCCCACTTGCATTGCCACTACGCCTACCTGCTCCTGCATCCACTGCTGCTGCTACTACCACTGCTACTGCTAATGCTAATGCTACCGCTACTGCTACTCCTACTATTACTACTACTACTACTACTACTACTACTATTACTACTACCACCACCACCACCACCACCGCCACCATCACCACCACCAGTACTACTAGTACTAGTACTATGCTTATGCTGCTGATGCTGCTGCTGCTGCTGCTGCTGCTGCTGCTGCTGCTGCTGCTACGACGACGACTACTACGACCTAGTACGCCTACTACGACCTACTTCTGCTCTCACCACGACTAGTGCCATTCCTACGAAGCAACTGACTGAGCCAGGTTGCCAGCTGCCTGGCTTTCTGTGCATTCGCTCTGGTACATGGCTTAGTGCAGTGTGCCATCCCTCGCTGTGGATGTAGACTGGCTCGGGGCACAGGCAATTAGGCATCATGTGCACCGGATAGACAAGTCGTCCGCAGCTGCATTGAGTAAGTCCAAGAATCTGAGGCGTATGCATCATTCCATGACAAGCACTGGCTGCAGTTCGTGCTGCTGTGCATTGTCAAGTGCGCCAATGTGCTTATCCAGACTGCGGTGTCAACACTTCATCCCACAAATTGTGCAGCTTCACGCTCTCCATGAACAACATCTCCACGTTCATGCTCCCGGTGTTGGCTTTCCCTCGCAGCGCCACGAACTCAAAGGCTTGTCAGCTCATGAACGGTTCCCCGTGTTGTCCAGTGAGGTGCGGTCCACCTTCCATGGCATTTCGGCTGCAGCTCGGATCTCGGACTCCGTTTTCGTAAGAGGCGATGAGAGAGTCGCCTCGGCCGAGGCCGCCAAGCTTGGTGCCATGGTGGGGACCGTCCTCTTTCCTGCGCCCAGCACCCCAGGGCCAAGGGTACTAAGGGTACCCCGGGATCTCCAGCTTCGGGTGCATCTGCGATGCAGCAAGGCTCGAAGGTCGCGGCATCCCTTTCGTGATGTTTACCCAGGCTGACTCTGACGCGCGGTGTTTTGACATCTCCTGGCCTCGTAGTGGGTGTGGCTGCAGGCTTTCGTGTGTGGCATGGGGGCCTGCTGCAGTCATTGGCCGTGGGCCAAGTCGAACAAATCGGCAACTCCTGTTTCATGCTACGTATCCGGCTTTCCCCTCCAAGCTTGGTCGGTCAGCATGGCTAACTATCGGGAAGCCTTCGAACTTGTGAGGTTCTTGGAAGTGGTGGAAGAAGACGTTTGGAGCTCTGTGCTGTTGCCCACTCGAGGGTCTTCAGCAGTGATGCGGCTCCAAGGTTGATTGGGAGGAGCAGGCTTGCCGCCTTTGCTTCTCTACACCTGGTCAGCTCTTATCGCTTGCAGGTAGAGTTGCAGCTGGTTGAAGCTATTGGCTTGCCAGAGTCGGCGCAGGACGGGCTAGAACTCTTTGCGTTCTTTGCAGCCCACCGTTTGATGATCTTAGATCCCGCTGGTGAAAAGGATGCTGCAGCCCGTGAAATGCAGGTGAGAGGCGGATGAACACGGAAGCTTCGGAAACAACAGACACCTGTCCAAGACAGTGCCTGTCCTTCTCGTGATGACTTGGCAGGAGCCTGCCTCTGATAGATTGTGAAAAGGAATATGGTTCCCACTTCTGGTTGTACAATGTGTACGCTCCAAATAATCATGCTTACTTGGCAGCTTCCGGCATCTTCGCAAAGAGTCAGATGGCTTCAGGAATCGATTCCGAATGCATGAAAGTGTAGAATTATAACAGTAGCACGTGATGTCAGTCGATCTATCAGCTCATTGGCTTGATATGAATACGTGATGATACGTGAATATTCAGGTGCGGCCTACCCGCAAGACGCTAGCAATAGATAGAAAAAAGCCTAAGACCAAACATGCATCAGTATGATAGAACAGACCATAGAGTTTGAAGCTTGAGCCATTTGGACTCCGCGCCTGCGGACCGAAGGACAGGGCAGCACATGTCGGACTCGTGGTACTCAAAAACCATTGCAGTGGTTGGGGGTCTGCGCAGTACCGCATTTGGTAGTCGCATGCGAGTCGCGTTTATGATTATTTATGGTTTCGTGATGCATAACAATGCCTAGTGGTATATTGCATTAGCTCAGGGCCCCACTATCTGCTTTCTGTACTCGAGTCCATGGGCAGCAAGCCACGCCCCATCAGAATTGCTGATGCAGCGCAGCACCCGTGAGCAAACTGCACCCAAGAAGGACCATAATCGACAAGTGAAAGACAGCAAAAGCGACTTGCCATGAAGAAAAGAAAGAATCGTGCAGAGCAATGGTCCCACCCCTCCTGCATCGGCCAATTGGGTACTGGTGCCCACCTATTTCCTGAGGAGGACAAGACAGACAGCAATGTCCCATGTACATGGTATATCATAGATCACGGAAGGCCAGAGAACAGGCATTAGAGCTTTTCAAGAAGAGTCACGCGAGACACTGCAATAATATACAGGAATCGTAATTACTAGCAATGTAAGAAAAGAAGGAAGCATCTATGCATCGCAATATTATGCGTTTCACAGTCCATTGGTGTAATGTGCATAGGGGCCCACAGTACACAGTGCGAGTTCACCAGGATGTCTAGATCTGCGCAAGGAGGTTGAATGATAGGCAGGTATGTAGGTAGATAGGTCGGTAGGTTGGCGGGTCGGTAGTAGGTGGTTCATTAGGTGGGTGGGTAGTCAAGCAGACTACACAGACTTGGCTTGTATTGCTCTTGCCTTTCTTTACCCATAAATTACGTACGCATTGTGCATTTGTTGCGTACATACATTCTCTCTTTCGTACCTACATCAATATGTGTTTGTGTATATACATATGCACATGTATATATGTGTATATATGTATATATGTACATATGTACATATGTACATGTGTATATATATATAGGTAAATGGTAAAAAAAAGTAGGGCATTTGAATAGGTAGATATAGAGAGATAAGTTGGGAGACGGTTGCGAAGGCACTGCTCGCTCTGTGGCCAGGCACCATGGCCCCGAAAGCCGGCCGGAGCAGGTGCCGTTTAGAGTAAGAGTCCTCATGGAGACGATTCTCAGGTTTGGGGATTAGGGTCTAGGGATACGGTTTGAGGACTTTAGCGTTTCAACTTTTAGGGGTTTGCAACTTGAAAGAACTCGAGATGGAAGTTCTTAGGCGTTGCAGATACCTATGCTTGGTCGCCGCAGTTGCTGTGGCCTCGAGCTCGGCATGTGCTCATCACATTAGCATGCTCGGCACCTTTGGAAGCCAACTCTGTAGCAGTTTCTCTTGCCGTATCAAGTCTGACCAGGTCTGCAGCAGGCTAGCTTTCATGTCAACTCCTCGGCGCGCTGAATGCAGAAGACGCATCGAATCGCAGACCCTTGTTGCCGAAGCAAGCGCATGCTGAGTCCAAGCCCGCAGACGCCACCCAGACCAGGCCCAAAACCGCTCGGCTGTTGATTCCATCCAGTCTCCATCCCTTGACTCTTCCAAGGCTGCCATGCCCCGACAGCACTGGGATGGTGGTCACTAGCCGTGCGCTTACATGCCCTTGCGTCCCGCTGTGGCAAAAGGCGGCTCAGCTGTTCCTTCTGCAGGCGGCAGCAGCAGCCCATGCTGAAGAGCAGCCAGATGGTCTTCCCAAATCCAACAGTGCCCGCGGCATGATCTTGCACGCTTCATCCAGATAGCTGTCTTGAAAAGACGTGCCCGCCAGAATTGTACACCTTCGAGGATGCTAAGGCCATCTGACTCACTCCAGCACAAGAGATGTTCTCCCTAGAGACCTCCAAACCCAATGAAGCCAATTAAAAAAAAGCGGAGGCAGTGACGGAGAAGCTGAAGGCTGCTGGGGCAGATGCAAACCTGCTCGATGAGCCCGTCAGCCTCCTGCCACCCGCTGGGCCCCCGGTAGTAGTCTAGTGGAGCTGCCGTGTAGTACCAAAGAAGCCAACCGAGGATCTGCCAGAAGGTGAAAAAGCCGCGGACATGGTGCAAGACATGACAAAGGAGGCCCCATCGATGGGTGAGAACAGTTGGCTAGAAGACCCAGCACCCCTTGCAGCTGGAAAGGCTGTGAAATCTCTGCTCGAAGGCGATTTAGGCGCACCTGTTTGAGATTCCCTGTGGTACTTCGGAGTTTTCGTTCCGGAATCGACAGCAAGTACGTCCACGGAAGTCATTAGCGGCGGACGGTGCGTCGGTGCGTTGTGCATAAGTGTGTCTTCGTATCCAGGGCAAAGTTCGGGTCTGCTCGAGTCCTCACGTGCCGGTCAAATCTGCGCATCTGATATGTACATGTTTGCACAGATGATATTTACATGTTGTGGTTTGCGAGCTTTGCTACAGGGACTTGACTGCTTCCCCGCTTTGCGGCGAAGAACTTCACTGGCCAGTCGCATCTTGTATTTTCCATTTCCGGAGCAGGTAATGTGGCGAACATTGCTGGGAATATCGTCGAAGAGGGCCTAGAGGCGGTTCAGGTGCGCTGTAGGTGCTGCACTGCATGTCGGCATCTTCGAGCATTTCCGCTAAGGATGAGGAATTTCCCTGGGACAAGGTCGGCATCGTCTTTTTCGGGTCTCGGCCTCGTAGTTCCGTGCCATCAGCGAGCTGTTACGGTTTGTTCCTGTAGGTTCGCCCTGTTAGCAAACAGCCAGAGCCTCAGCAACGACGGAGAAATAAAGACACGCATTTTGCAGCTTGTGGCTGCAAGATCTGAAGGTGCACAGTTTGTCAGAGCCCCAGTATCACCACGACTGCCCCAGGAATTCCTAACTGCGCTGAGCCGCTTAGCCTTGGTGCGCACTGGACGAGGTCTACCCGCTGCTGGAGGAAATCTTAGAGGAGCATCGGGCTTCGAGACATGTGTCCTTGGGGATGGGGGGCATTCCCGAAATGAGAGTAGTATCTATGGTCGCAATAACCTTGATAAGAAAACTAACGGAGAACCATAGCATGTTAATGCTCGTCATGGTGCGACTGCTTCCCTTCGGTAAGGACGACGAGGACGATTATTGCCACAAGTACAAGCGCAACTACTGACACAAGTATTGTTGCTAGTGCTGCTGCGGCGACGAGTACTACGAGTACTGCAAGTACTACGAGTACTACGACGACGGCTGCTGCTGCTGCTGCTACTACTACGACTACTACTTCTTCTTCTTGGAGTCCCACTCCGACTCCGACTTCCCCACTCCTACTCCTCCTACTCGGTCCTACTCCTACTCCTCCTACTGCTGCTGCTGC